AACAAAAAATGTAGAAAAATGGCAACACTAAATACTGATAAGGATGTAGAGCAGCGAGAATCAACACTCACTACTCAGGAGATTTCAAAATAACACAGCCACCTGAAAGACAGTGCAGTAGTTTCTTGCAAAGGTACATATGCCTTTACCATACAAGGCAGCCATAATGTTCTCCATTACTTACAGAAATAGTTGAAATCTTTTGTCTACATTAACCTTGCACAAAGAATAGTTATGACGACTTTATTCATAATTTTCAAAACTCTAAATCAGTCAAGGAGTCCTTCAGTGGAGCAAATACATAAAGTAACTGTGATTTACACAGACAATGAAAGCGCCATTCAATATTAAACATCAGCTACCAGGTCATGAAAGAGGAATAACGTAAATGTGTATTATTAATTGAAAGAAGCCAATCTGAAAAGCCCACATTCAGTGTGATTGCACTGATGCTGAAATCTTCAAGAAGTGAAATCAAGCAGCCTCCATCCATTAGGGAGGTGACAGGGATGGTATGTGAGGCACAGAGAAATGCCAAGGCAAGGAAATGAGTCTCTATGATACTGGGACAGCAGGTTCATGTCACAGCTCATTATCGAAGGCCAGAGACTATGCATCAAGAGTGAACACAAAGAAAAATAGGGACTTTGCATGGTAATAATGTTCAATATAGGTTCACAGACTGCAACAAATCTAACATTCCAGCCTAGGATGTTCATAGGAGGAAGATTATGCATTTGAGAAGGGAGAAGTACACTTTCAGCTCAATTTTTCTCTGAGCCTAACACTACTCCAAAAACATAAAGTGTGTTTTTTGATGGGAAGAAATTATTAACTTCTGGAAGAAATGTTATATAAGAAAGAAATTGCTCTCATAATTCACAACTCAGCTCAGTCATAAAAATATTTATATGGTCATAAATTTTATACTATTGATTTAATCAAATTTTAGGGAAAATTATGCAGAATTGTCAAAAATAGAGAAGTCCATGACTTAAACATTTTCATTTACACCTTCTAGAGGAATATATGGGTAAATAGTTTAATGATGGTATAATAATGCAAATATGGCATAATATGTATAAAATGAAAATGAGTACCTTAAGAGACAATTGCAAGCAAATGCATATTATTGTTTTCAATAGGATACCAGGATATGGCAGAAACCATGGATAAATAATGCTATTTTGGTTATTAATTTTATGGAAAGTATGATTTTTAAGCTATATGTAAATAGTGGGCAATAAAATAGGTAATGCAAAAAATAAAGAAGTGAAATATAGTGCCTGCCAATTATGATGTTTGGTTCTGATAATCATTAGCTATCAGACTTTAGCATTATAGGTTGAACTGTGTCCCTTTAAAATTTATATATCGAAATCCCAACTCATTCTACCACCAAACGTGAGTTGATTTGGAAAAACAGTAATTAGGTGTAACCAGTTAAGACTATTTTAGCCCACGGAATTTTAAATGAATATGAATGAATTGCTTGTACAGAGGGAGTATTTGAATGCAGCTCAGAAGATATTCTGAGAAATGAGAGCAGAGATCATGGTTACTCTTTGGGAGCCGAAAGAGTGCCAAACTCTACCACTATGTCATCAAAGGCTTGGTCAAATACTGTCTCTGGTTGCTCAGAGGAAACCATCTTGACTGGACCTTGAGAGCAGACTTTGAGTCACTGAAATAAAATGACAATAAATCTCTCGGTTTCTAAAGTCATGCAGTTTACACTACTGTGCAATAGCAGGCCTCAAGAAAAAGTGCAGGCAATACACTAGAAAGAAGAACGAAGCAAGCATGAGGTCTCAGTTTGGTAAAGTGCCTTATAAGCATGAGAAACCATATTTGATTCCTAGAATCTACACAAAAAGGAAAGGGAGGTTCTCTAGCCAATCAGTTGAACCTAACCCCTTATCTCAGGAAAAAAAAAAAAAACTTTTAACTAGGGATCAAAGGTACCATCCAAATATATTATATTTATTTTAAAGATTGTCTTTTAATGCTATGGTACTATGAAAGAAAGGGTTTCACCAGTGAGATAGTGAAACAGGTAAAGATGCATGCTTCCTAGAATGGTAAGGTGGGATTGATCCTGGAAGATCACTTCCTGGAAGGTGAGAAGTGACTCCTCCAAGTTGTCCTCTGACTTCCTCATCTACACGCCCATGCACGTGTGCACACACACAACACATACACACAAATACACAAATAGGTAAAGAAATAAATACAGATAAAAGTTTCTAGACTAATATCTTTCTTATGGATAGGTTTTGTTCTGTTTCTTTATTGCCAACATGTCAGAGCTTACTGAATGAAGTGAGATATTCATATTTTGGCTTCCTAGAGGCCTTCATATGTTGTGTCCATTGTTTTTTATAGTTTAGCTATGTTTTAGTGGTGTATAGGTGATCACAAGTCTCTTCTCTCCTCCTTTCATATCAGTATTTAGTACATAAACTAATAAATTAATTCTGCTGATTACAGGAGTTCTACTGCACATAAACTCTGCTTACATCAATGACTTAATGTAGTTCCTTCGGAAACTGTGGCTATCTATTGCATTGGGGTGCTGAGAGTATTCAAGGGAGAGGGATCTCGCAGGAGTCCTGACAGTCCCATGCTTAATGAGATAGCTAACAACAAGATTCTCAGCATCAGTGGTCTGGGCCCTCGTACCTATCTGAACGTAAAGATCACCCATGACAAACGCATTCACAATAGTTTACAAATTTGTTTAGTTTTATTGGAGAAATAAGTCTTGTCCCCCAAAAGATGAGGAGTAATAATACAAATATCCAATATTTCAGTTTCATAAAATCCTCTCTACCATCCTTGCAGATGGAGCCTCATGAATTCCTGTGAGAGAAGTAGGTCTACTAAGTTTCCAGTCTAACTACATTAAATAACACTAGCTATTAGAGACTAGACTGGTTATTTCTGGACTATTTAGACCTGGTTGCCATCACTTTAAAATGGTTAATTGCCATTTTAAGCCATTTTCTTTGTCCTCCTCTTGATTGATGATCCCTGTAGTTTTCTTTGGTAACTATATATTAAATGAGGAATGCTGAAATAGAAGAAGAAAACATTATTCTTTCCTCTTATAGCAGACCTTGAAAACCTACCCAGATTCTGGTTCAGATTCTGGTTCTGATGCAATAAGAACAAAAACATGACAGATTTCCAGATTCTGTGAAACAAGAACTCATCTGAAGTCACTATCAAATAGACCTAAATGGTCTATTTTACAAATGGAAGTAGCTAGTCAGGGCTGGTGGTGCACGTCTTTAATCTCAGCACTTGGAGAAAGAGACAGGTGGATCTCTGTGCATTCTAAACTAGTTCTGGTGTATACATCCAACACCAGGCCAGCCAGAGCTACACAGTGAGAAGTTGTTTCCAAACAAAACAGCCCTATTATAAAATATGGAAGTTTCGCTCAAAGTTAACTGCCCCTCCTTCCACAGGAAAGGACTGGTGTGTGTATACCTTCTGTCTTTCATAACAGTTATTGTCCCCTCTCCAGGCAGGAATAGCAAAAGGAAAGAGTTAGTGGGACAGGATAGGTATACAGGCGCCAATAATATGTTTGGAGGATTACTAAACTGACTTGCTCACAGTAAATTGCTGGACATATCAGGACCACGGTCCTGCCTTAAGTACCAGCAGCAGGCACACGACTATCAGTTTACCTGCTTTACTTTTTTCATAACTTTTCTTTCTTCAAAATCTGGACATACAAGGATCAACAGATTCAGCTGCTGTTGCCCTGCTAACAGAACTGCACTTCTTCTTGGAAAGCCTTGGGAAACAGCCACAGTTATTCTCTCATGATGGACCACAAATTTCTCCCAATGTCCCTTACTTTGGACCCATCTTCTATAGGAAGATACTTGCCTCCCAAAAACATCACCTTTTTTTTTTTTTTTTTTTTTGGTTTGGCCACTTAGCACGTAACTTCGGCTGCATGCTTTATTTGGGGACTTTGTAAGTCTGCGTCTGTTGCCTGCTCTGTGTCTCCAAGTTTTCGAGAAACTCTTGAAACTTTTCTTCGTAACCTTGGGAAGAAAAGATACCCTCCGCCATCTTTCTCTGATCACCACATGGGAGATAGTGACACCACATCAGTTTTCTCGGTGTGCTCCTCCATTCAGTGTCTGAGTTCTTCAGCTGTATCTTAATCCTTAGTATTTTCAGTGTGATCCTGTAGCTCACAGTCACCAAACAGATAAAATTGTCTATACAGGTTCTGCCTAGACAGATAAGCACCTCACTCTGGAGTGGGAGCAGTTCACTCCTATTACCCCATAAATCCATACCACTTACATTGATGTAATATAGTTCTCACACTGGGAAGTACTTGATGCATTTCCTGTATCTTTTTTTTCTGTTTGTTTGCCATTGACACCTTCTTGTCAGTGTGTACCATCAATCAATTACATTCTGTACCATCTAATTCATTTAAAGAACTGAGATTTTTATATCTCTATCCTGTAAGAATTTGCTGATATTTTCTAAGAGATGTTATGAGCAAATTCACAGAAGAGGTTAACAAGATTGGAGAGAATGATCAATACTTCTACATGTCCCCTCTATACTCAAAGACTAGGTATTTTATTCGGCAAGCTGTATTTTAATATAAAGGACATGAGCATCTTTGTGTTTTGATATCTGCAGCATCCTGGAGCCAATTCCCTGTGGACAGACTGGACCAATTTTAGTAGAAAGGGAAAACAAAGTAATAGTGTGTTGTACTAAGGACAGTTCTTCAAAATCCTACCATTCATTAGCTTCAACACTAAGGTAAATGCAGTCAAATTGAAATTCAGTTTGAAAAACTAAAATGTGTGAAAAATAAATATTTAGAGAGAAAAAGTGAATCAGATTTATAATAGCACTAATTTCACCCAATTATTTAGTTTAAATCTCTGGTGTTATAAAAGTAAATTAATATTTTCAGTTTTTTCTCATCCTTACAAATTACCTTCTTGCAGGAAACAGACCTTATCCTGACATTTAATATTTCAATGCACCGATCTTGGTGGATGGAGAATGGACCAGGATGTATGGTGACATCTGTGACGCCTGCCCCCGACTGGGCCCCAGAAGACCATCGATACATCACTGTCTCAGGGTGTTTTCTGGAGTACCAGTACATAGAAGTGGCTCATAGTTCCCTCCAGATCATCCTCGCAGTAAGTGTTCAGAGCTAACCACTCTGGTGCTTCGGGGAAAACTCATTTCTGAGCAAACTCAGTATAGATGGACTCTATGTTAAATGTGTGTAGGTTTTAGCTTTTCTAATTAATGTCATTTCTGATAGGAATTTGCTGGGTTAAACCAAATTTTTCCAAACCTGTATGTACTGCTTTTCATCAGCAACTGACAAAGAGCCTTTGATATCAACCAGCATGTGAAGATGTGATTATCTTCATTTGTGGTAGAATTTTCTAAAGATTATAAAAGGACCATTGAGAGGTTTTCATGTCTCACTGTCTTCGTACGTAAGAAAGAAAGATTTTGATGTGTATTTTTTATATCTTTATGTTTCTTTTGGCTGAACTGTTAGCACAAATCCTTTCTTCTTTTTGCCTGGTATCTTCATTACCCACCCCCAATTTCACAGGTCTTTCACATTTTATACTCCCTCCTTTTCCAGAACAAATCATACTTTCTACAGCATCTACCTCTAGACTTTTCATGCCTCAATATTTCAATTGTGACAATAAAAAACCCTCATTTTATCAGAAGGAAATAAAGTAACTAAATATCAAATTAGTGTCAAAAATGCTTACATTATACAAACAAATTATTTGCATTATTAGAACAAAGATACAAATAAAAATAATTTTTCCTGAAGAGACTTGGGAAACCTAACTTTGTTATTCTGTGAGATTTAGAAAGTTTACAGCTTTGTTATACATGAACTCGGGTGTTTATGTGAGCTCCTAAGGAATATATATCTATATATATTATATATATATATAGATATAATATATATAGATATATATAGGAATATATATTCCTTTATAGATATATAAAGGAATATATATATGTGAGCTTCTAAGGAATATATATATATATTCCTTAGATTTCATGTAGAGCTGTAATCGATATGCACAACCTTAAATTTGCTACCAACAAATAAAATTTGTTTATCAGTTTTCTTTTGCTAATTTCTTAGCAATTGAATAATAAGAAGCAATAAGTTGTATGCAAAATGGTATCAATGTCTCTAGATTTAAGAAAATCTTTTTTATCATGATATGAGATATTTCAGCTGAGTGTGGTGGTACATGCCTTTATTCCTAGCCCACAGGAGGCAGAGGTAGATGAATCTCTGTGAATTCAAGGCCAGCCTGGTCTACAGAACAAGTTCTTAGACAGCCAAATCCAAATAGAGATACCCTGTCTCAAAAACAAACAAACAAAAAACAAAGAAAACAAAAAGATATTGTGATATATGTATAGATAGATAGATAGATAGATAGATAGATAGATAGATAGATAGATAGACAGGCTAGTAGGGATGCATTGTGCTAGTAAACATTCCATAAACCTCTATAAAGAACACTTTTAAAATGTATGTATTCTTAGCCAGAGATTGTAGAATGTGGCTGTAGTTTGCATACTTGGGAGGTTGACACAGGATCTTTGAGTTCAAAGAAACTCTGGGCTATGTCCATTAACATCTCAAAAATCAAACACAAAACCAATCAAAAACATTTTCTGTGTATGTCAGCTTGTGTTTTTGTTGGAAGCTCTAGTTTTCACTTAAGAAACAAGGTTATTGGAGCCACCTTGAACCCAGTGGTCGTAGATTTCCATGCTTAAGATCAAAAGAGACATGGAGGATCACATCGGCATGCTCGTGATTAGAAGGAAGGGTTCATTGTTACAGCTCACTGTCTCCTCGTCCCAAAGAAAGAACTACAAATCTTTGCAGAGAAGCCTAGCTTCTAGAAAATCTAAACTATGTTCTTCCTTGAAGTAATACCATTTTTTTTATCTTGAACTCAGATGAGCTCTTTCCTCTCTTTGAATTATAGAACCAGTCGCTAAATACACTGCACTCTCTGAGCAATAAAGTTCCTTTTCTGACAAAAATATGGAAGAAGCCTGAGATGGGACGTATAAGTCAGCTATTGAATCACTGAATTTTAGGAGATCATAGGGACAGAATAAAGAAAGGGAAAGTGGGAGACACACTAAATATAGGAGAGGAGTATCCATGGCTTCCCTGAGAATAAGCATAGATTTTTCAAGAGTTCATTGGCCACCTCTTCTTTCCTTTTTAGGTGTCTTTGTGGTTTTAATTATAGAAATGTCAACTGTGGTAGCACTAAGGCATGGGTACTTGGATTGCAGCTAGATATCATTAAAGTTAGAAGTTATTCAGTAGTCACTCTGGCAGGCATCGTATATTAAACAGTTTTGTCTAAGACACATCACAAAGGACATTTGATTTGCAGGAATCCTGGCTTTTAAGGATTTAAGGATGCCCCAAATTAATTTCCTCCTCCACAGGAGAATCCCTAAAGCAATATGTATGACATATTTTGAGATGAACGACCATCGAAAAACATTGGAAATCAGCAAGTGAGTCATGGCAATCTTGTCATATGTAGTAACCTGTGACAACATAGAAAGCAGGGAGAATTAAAGAAGGAAAGAAAGAAAGAAAGAAAGAAAGAAAGAAAGAAAGAAAGAAGGGAGGGAGGGAGGGAGGGAAAGAAGAAAGGAAGGAAGAAGAATGTGCCACTTACACTCAATGGGTCAAGAAGTTAAAGACCCCCTTTGTATAATTAAGAATAAAAGAGACCCCCTCCCTCATCTGCTCGAAGAGCAATCAGGGTTCCCTGACCTTTGGGAAGTCCAAGGACCACCCACCTCCATCCAGGTCTAGTAAGGTGAGCATCCAAACCGCCTAGGCTCCCACAAAGCCAGTACGTGCAGTAGGATCAAAAACCCATTGCCATTTTTCTTGAGTTCTCAGTAGTCCTCATTGTCTGCTATGTTCAGCTAGTCCGGATTTATCCCAGGCTTTTTCAGATCCAAGCCAGCTAGACTTGGTGAGTTCCCAATAGAACATCCCCATTGTCTCAGAGTGTGGGAGCACCCCTCGCTGTCCTAAGTTCCTTGCTCGTGCTCTCTCTTTCTGCTCCTGATTTGGACCTTGAGATTTCTGTCCGTGCTCCAATGTGGGTCTCTGTCTTTGTCTCCTTTCATCGCCTGATCAGGGGAGGGGGAGGGAAATGGGAGGCGGTGGCGGGGAGGAGGCAGAAATCCTTAATAAATAAATAAATTAAAAAAAAGAATATTGTATAATAAATAAATAAATAAATAAAAAAATAAAAGAATTGAAAGGACATGCAGTTGGGAGGGAATTGTGCTGTGGTACCCAAAAAAGTAATCAGTGGGGGAATCAGGAATGAAATAATAAAGTTAGACTGTACACATGAAATTTTCAATAAATAAATAAAATATATTTTCAAAATAAAAAAAAAAAGAATAAAAGAGAGTCCTGACAACAGTCTGTGTAGATACTGGCCCCTTTCGCTACTGTAATACACTGTGCAGATACTGGTCTCTCTAGCTACTATAACACACTGTGCAGGTACTGGTCCCTTTAGCTACTCTACTATAACACACTGTGCAGATACTGGTCCCTTTAGCTACTCTACTATAACACACTGTGCAGGTACTGGCCCCTCTAACCACTGTAATGACTTTCTTTTTTTTTTCTTTTTTTAATTTATTTTATTTTGTTTATTGGGAAGTAGAGAAAATCTGGCTTATGATGACTTTCATGGTCACTTTATTCATCAAAGTCTATCAAGGCAGCTTTGTAAGAGAAAAGTCAAATTCTTCTGGAATTGATAGACATATAAAATACCTTTACACAGACACATTAGAGATGGGGTTAAACAAATACACCTTCTATGCAAAACATCTCATCATTTTAACTGAACTTACAATTTGACAATCTTCCACCTATGTCTCAACAACATATGAGATGTAATTTATGTGCATGGATGGTTATATATGATTGTTTTTAGAAAGCTATTTGAATTTGTGTTGTGTGTCTATGTAACTACAGCTACAGTTTTATGTAAGATTTTTGCATGCAGGGAGTTTCCACAGAACTAAATTGGGATATAAGTACATATGTCAAGAATATATACTATTCAAAGAAATATTTATTACATAATAAAGCCAACCTTTGACAACTCAGTGCACAGCTCAGTACACACAGTACACCAGTTCACACAGTGCACATAGTCCACAGTGCACAGTACACATAGTACATGGTACACACAGTACATGGTACATACAGTTCATGGTATACACAGTGCACGGTACACTCAGTACACACAGTACATAACATTCACAGTACACAGTATATGTAGTACACACAGTACACAGTATACACAGTGCACAGTACACACAGTACCCAGTACACACAGTGCACACAGTGCACAGTAACACAATGTTCAGTACATACAATACACAGCATATACAATACATAGTACACACAGTACACAGTACACACAGTGCACAGTACATACAGTACTCACAGTCCATGGTACCACAGTACACAGTATACACAGTGCACAGTACATACAGTGCACACTATACACAGTACACAGTATACACAATACACACAGTCCACACAGTCCATGGTACCACAGTGCACAGTACACACAATGCAGAGAAAGTGAATCATCTTTAAGAGCCGCTGTGACTGACCTCTCATTTCACGTCTTTGCATTGCTTCCAGAATGGAGAAGGGGCGTCCTCACCTGTCCTTGTTGTTTGTTCCTCCTTTGATGATAGCAATGTTTATTTTGCAGTGTTGACTGTGGTATAGCTGAGAATACTTAGGACGTACATAATTAAGTTCTATATACTTTTTGTCATTGGGCTTATTGTTGTTTTGCCAGCCTTGGGCTAGAAAGTGCTGCTGTTCCCATAAGGGCTTGTCTTAAACAATGTTGTCTGCCTAAAGAACACATTTTCCTCTGGTCATTATGATCACTCTTACTGCAATGATGAAGGGATAAAACACTGCCTTGAATATCTGTTCCTCCCCTCTGAGTTATTTTCCTTCTGATAATCAAATATTTAGTTCTATTTAGTGTAGTAAACAGTTCCTGGTGCATGACCCTGTTGGCTTCTAGAAAAATAGAAAGAT